CATTTTCTCAGGTTAAATATCAGGTCTTTGCACAAGGATCACAAAGTGTTTATGAAGCCTTAAAGTGTTGGTAGGAAATCTTATACCATGAGTAGTGAAACTTGTATGCTTTTTTGTCTTCTATTTTTTCATCATTTTTTATTTTGGAAGTGACCATAAAATAATTTTCAAATAAAGTCTACAAAGAAAAAGAATTTACTAAAATTTAGTTGTACATATTTGTAGGGTACAGTGTGTTGTTTGAACAAATGCATATATTGTACAATGATTCACTTAGGGTGAACAGCATATCCATCCCCTGAACATTTATCTTTTCTTTGTGGTGATTATGATCAATATCCTCTTTTCAACTACTTAGGAATATGCAATATATTATTAGCTCTAGTCAGCCTAGAACACCAGAACTTATTAAAAAGAAAAAAATTTTAAATTATCTGTCAACTTGCTAACCAGAGATAACTGTTTAACATTTGGGGACGTCCTTCCAAATTTTCCTACAGAGAAATATACTTTACTTTTAAACTAAAAAAAAAAAGCCACAAATTTACTCCCACCACTCAACAAGTATACTGTGAACTTCCCCACTTAAAATAGATCTTGAATATTTCCCAATATCATTAAATAATCATCTAAAACATAACTTATAATGATTTACAGTATTTCCTCATATGGATATACCATATTTTATTTAACCATCTGGGGGATAGTTAGGTGGTTTCAGGTTTTCTCTTTGGTTTTATTTTCTAAGTTACTCAGCAATAAATCAGCTCTTGGCTCACACTTCTAAAAATTTCTTTGGGATAAATTCCAAGATATGAAATTACTGGATCAAAGGGGATCAATATTTGTAAGCCTATTGATACATTTTGCCAAATTTCTGGACTGAAAGACCATACCCAGCAAGGTTAGAGAGTGCTTATGCCCTGAAATCCCTGCCAACACTGGGTACATTTTAATCATAATTTTGATAGGTTGAAAATGTTTTGTTATTTTAAAATTTGTATTCCTTAATTATTAATGAGATTTAGCATCTTCATTTGCCTATTGGCCAAATGTTTCTATTTTTGTCAATTGTCTGTGTTCTTTGTCCATTCTACAGATTTGCTAGAGGTCTTTACATTTCAAGAACAACCCAGTATCTACTATGCTTGTTGCTTATACTTTGTTAGTTTGTGGTTTTCCTCTTTTGGGGGTTGGGGGGAGTTATACAGAACATTTCAATATTTATACAGTTGAATTAATATTATACTTTCTTTCTTTGCTTCTATATTTAGAAAGTGCTTTCTTCAAATTGAGAGCAGTTAAACATTTGCCTATATATTCCTCTAGTTATTTTATATTTTAAAAAACATTTACCTCTTTAATTCATATCAGCTTTTAGTATACAGCATGAAGTAATAATACAACTTTTTCCCCAAATAAATAAATTGCTCTGGTGCCTTCTAGTTAGAGATGTTATTATTACATTTTAACTTGTCGTGCATATTGAGGTCTATTTCTCAGGGTTTTTTTTTTTTTTTCATTTTTCCTTATCCCAGCCTTATGCCTTTTAAATTATTTTAACTTCTGATGTGCATTAGTAAGTATATATTCCTCTTCATTATTATGTATATTTAGTAGGTATATGTTCCTCTTCATTCTTTTTTTATCCCAAAGTTCTTATGCTTGTTTTTTTATACTTCCAGATTAATTTAGAATAATTTAAAGGGAAATTCTGTCAGGTAACAACAACAAAAGTAATAGATTTTTGTACCAAATATAAATTTGGAGAAATGAAACATTTGCAAATTTTAGACGTCATGTCCAGAATCAAGATGGTCTCTCCCTTTGTTCAAGTATTTTTAACATGTCACTGTAAAGTTTTGTAACATTCTTTAGATAAGTCTTGCCTATTTCTTGTTATATATATTTCCAAGCATTTTATCATCTGTCCCTTTCTAACCATTAAGTAGGAATAATGAGCAAGATCATGAAAAGCTAAATGACAAACAAAAGAACTGGGAAATAGGAGGGGTTGGTTGGAGGAATAATACAGATATCTACTCCATTCATTAAAAAATGCAGTATTTTTGTATTAGCAGAGATCCATGCATGCTCTATTCAAGAAGGTAGTCCTTGCACTCTTTTATTTGTGCACTTTAACTTATGTTATCTACAATCCTGTAGATGGAAGAACCTGGGCCATATCCCAGGATTCATGAGAAATTTTTGCTATGCCAGAGGCAAGGATGTTGATGGTGTTGATATTGTTACTTGTGTAACAAAATAGAAAAAGCAAATGTAGGCCTAGCCAGAGTCAGATTCCTGCTGTATAGCCTAGAGGAAGACAGGTCTATAAAAACCAATGGCCGAGGTAGGTTTGTACTATATATCCTCTATTTCTATGTTGAACACAACATGGCACCTTTCTTCTAAGGGAACATATTTCAACATGTCAAAAAAGTTCTGACACCCAATACATGTAAATATTTGTTATGACGTAAAAACTTAATTCACAACAGAAAAGCAGCACTGTTAAAACATGCAATCCTAGAAGTATCGCAAGTCTTCAGGTTAGTACTTAACATAAAGTTTCCTTTTCAGCTGCCCGCTGATCACTTCACTTGATTGTCATTACTTTGCATTCTAAAAG